GGTCTGTCATCGGAGGTGCAATAACCGAAGAGAGTACTTAAGCAGTACCCTCAGCGTCTCGTAAATTTCGCAGCAAAGTATTTAAGGCGTTTTTATACTGATGTGCAGTTCTTTGATCTCTGGGTGTGTTGAAAGTCGAACGGTTCCAAAAAGAACCAACGCGCTGCAGTACCGTCGTTCAAACGGAAATTGTTTATTGTTAACGGATGAATGATGGGGCATAAACTGATGGTAGCGCGTTACGGTACCGAGGAAAAGTTTTACTCGCCGTCTCAGAGGTGTGTTTCAGCGTGAAGAGTTTATTAGGTACTCGTACTCATAGCTCATTGTTATCCAACTTTTTTTAAGGATACAAAGAGTATTTATTTCCGATCCTCCCAGAGAAGCTTTGCAGATGGGTGGCTCGTTTGCCGCTATGCCAACGGGCGTTGCTCCTCAGAGCCCTCCTCTTAGATCGCGTCGACCTCCAATCATAACCATGTCGAACTTCGTACATTCATAACTGGGCGATATGACCGCTCCTTTGTTCTCAGGGAATCGAGATTGTAGAACAATCTACCTGATGCTTTTCCCAGTTGTACTGACAATAGGCAGGATTTGCCCTCATGAGACACCCTGATGTACATCTCATATAACTTTACATTTTTTAGGCTTTTAACGGTAATCTCGAGCTTTCGGCTTCTCTTTGGAGCCATCTTCAGGAGCTGAAAACACAAATATGAAGCTAGCAACCAATACGGGACCACCATTTGGCTACCACCTCAGAGACGAGTAAGTTGACTGATAATTTAAATCCTTCCCGTATTGGTTGCTAGCTTCATATTTGTGTTTCCAGCTCCTGAAGATGGCTCCATAGAGAAGCCGAAAGCTTGAGATTACCGTTAAAAGAGTACTAAAGCATACAAAAAATTGCCAATTTCCCAATTAACAATTGATTGTATTTCTTATATTATATATATATATATATAACTTGAGACGTGGTCATTGTCGTCTAGACCATTTAGGTGAAAAATTAAAGCTTCCGCCTTTTGTTGGGTACTTCGACAAAATTTAAGCAAAGAGGACTCTTTATACTTTTTTAATTCTCTCTAGCTTTCAATGGACTTTGCCGTCATCATCAGGAGCTGCAATTACAATGATAACAGTAGCAACAAAAGTGTAAAATGAATTTAAATTGACTCAACTTACAGTAGTATGTGAGGATGTTGCTAATTGTTGTTTACGTATAGGATGAGGGAAACGTCCAGTAACATGGTGAGAGCTGGATAGATGGTACAATGGTCAAAATTATATAAAATATGACAAGAACAAGTTAAAAACAGATTAAAAATTATTTTAAAAAATTAGAGCATTACATCGTGAAGCCACTTGATGATTGCACAAAATGGTGGTCATGGAATAATAAACTGCAAAAAATTGGAGAACTTACATATCTCCCCAAATTTCGACTCTTCACAACCATAAATAGAATCTGTGTTTTGGCCGATTCCACCAGTAAATTTCATTCCATTCAAAATCTAATAATTCTCTTCTCACGATTTATTAATAATTGTTAATTTAAATTCCCATTAATTAAAATATAGTTTATTCAACTGCCTCTGGTCGGTTTAACAATTTCTTACATAACATTCTGAAAATCACATCATCTGAAGTGATTTGGCGACGTTTGGCACACGCCCATAATTCGTTCCATCTTTCAACACAGACATTGACAACCTTCGGCCTTCTGTCAAAGGGTTCATCTCACTCATTATTCCATGACCACCATTTTGTGCAATCATCAAGTGGCTTCACGATGTAATGCTCTAATTTTTTTTAAATAATTTTTAATCTGTTTTTAACTTGTTCTTGTCATATTTTATATAATTTTGACCATTGTACCATCTATCCAGCTCTCACCATGTTACTGGACGTTTTCTTCATCCTATACGTAAACAACAATTAGCAACATCCTCACATACTACTGTAAGTTGAGTCAATTTAAATTCATTTTACACTTTTGTTGCTACTGTTATCATTGTAATTGCAGCTCCTGATGATGATGGCAAAGTTCATTGAAAGCTAGAGAGAATTTAAAAAAGTATAAAGAGTCCTCTTTGCTTAAATTTTGTCGAAGTACCCAACAAAAGGCGGAAGCTTTAATTTTTCACCTATATATACATAACTTGAGACATATATATAACTTGAGACGTGTTCATTGTCGTCTAGACCAGTTAAGTGAAAAATAAAACTTCCGCCTTTTGTTGGGTACATCGACAAAATTTAAGCAAAGAGGACTCTTTATACTTTATTAATCTCTAGCTTTCAATGGACTTTGCCATCTTCATCAGGAGCTGCAATAACATTGAGAAAAAATCCAATCATAACCATGTCGAACTTCGTACATTCATAACTAGGCGATATGACCGCTCCTTTGTTCTTAGGAAATCGAGATTGTAGAACAATCTACCTGATGCTTTTTCCAGTTGTACTGACAATAGGCAGGATTTGCCCTCATGAGACACCCTGATGTACACCTCATATAACTTCCAAAATATCCCAAATTCGAAATTGTTCGCGATTACAATACTTCCTCGCCCGTGGGCATGGGAAATAAAATAAATATAATCGCACGTATTTCAATTATTAAAAGTGCAGTTCTGCCTAGGTGGAAAATGCTCAATTGCAATAACTGAATCAAGCTTAACACATTATTAAAAATGCGTTTAGTCTAAACAATACGGTCGAACGTCGGTTAGACAATATGTATTTTACACATTAGCGTGATCGGATCGCAGCTGCCTGAACATCTATTAGCATTACCGATAGTTCAATAAATATGGACATTACGAGGGGTAGGCGCAATAAAGGAAGGGGGGCACTCCAAACACTGCTGGTGCATATACGCGAAATGACAAATAACATAAAACCGCCGATTTGGGCTTGGCCGTTTTGGCGGTTGTTTTGATTTTGCCATTTTTAACTACATTATTTTTCAATCGCCTTGCACGCTGATAGTCGAGTGGTAGTGCTGACCGAAACATTCGATTTTCCGGGCGATAATTCCGATGTAAAATTGATATTAGCTTTATTTAAATGGGTGCGGTGGTAAACTTTGTTGTAGGCTTGAATGATGACATTTTATCTGTTTTATTTTATATTCGATATTAGAGGAAGTTTGGTCAGTCAAGATTACACCTCTCAAGCCCCATTTATCGCCTTATGCATAATATGAGAAATTCTTAGGCAAGCTAAGTTTGGCCTCACTTATCTATCTATGAAATATATTATTTTCAGCTAAAGAAAAAACCAGTAAGAGTGACATGAATTGATTATCTATAAATCTGAGATAAATTCGTAGGGCACGAAGAAGATATGGATACGCGGGGTATATTCCAACAATGCTCGAGTATTTTTATAGCTTCGAAAATCAAAGGGAGGGAGATATATAGTCCTTGTTATTGGGATGCCACAGTTTCCCGATCTGATAGTCTAGTTAATGTGAGTTCTTAATACTCAAAACGATATCATTTGGCGATTAATAAATACCGAAAAGTGTAACCGTCTTAAAAGTTTGGCAGAAATGTCCGACAGGAATGCGCGTCGGAAAAGCTCGGCGAGAAAGCTTGTTAAAAATGGTCAGCCAGAAAGCCCATCAAGAGAGTCTGACAACAAATCTCGGCAGGAATGTTCAAGAGGGATGCTCTGCGGGAATACTCGTCAAAAAGATACGTCGAGAAGAAAGCTTCTAAATGCTCGACGAGAAAACTTGTTGATAATACTCGGCGAGAAAGCCTATCAGGAACGCTCGACACGAACTCTAAGCGGGAATTCTTGCCAAGGAAGTATGTCAAGAATCCTCGGCGAGAAAGTTAGTCGAGAAATTTCGACAAGAATACCTGCCGAGAAAGCTCGATGAGGAAACTTGCCAACAAAACTTGATAAAAAAGGCCGACCGAAATGCTCAGCGGGAATGCTGGACGAGAAAGCTTGCTAAGAATGCTTTACGAGAAAGCTTATCAAGAATACTCGGAGAAAGACCCTGTAAAGAAAGCTGAGCAGTAATACCAGACAAATGCTTGGCGGAAATACTTGCGGAGAAAGCATGTCAAGGATGCTCGTTGAGAAACTTCGGCAAGAATGCCCGACGACAAAGTACTATGAGGAGACTTGTTAATGAAACTAGCAAGAAAGCCAAGCGAGAATGCTGGACAAGAAAGCATGCTAAATGCTCGGCGAGAGAGCCCATCAAGAAATTTCTGCAAGAAAGCTTGACAGGAATGTGAAACAGGGATGCTTGACGGGAATATTCGCTAAGAAAATGTGCCATGAATATTTGGCAAGGAAGCCCGTCATGAAAGCTTAGCAGGAATGCCCGACAAGAATGTACGGCTGAACTTATCGAGAAGAAAGCTTCTAAATGCTCGACGAGAAAGCTTGTTGATAATATTAGGCGAGAAAGCCTGTCAAGAATGCTCGACGCGAACTATAAGCGGAAATTCTTGCCAAGAAAGTAACATATGTCAAGAATCCTCGGCGAGAAAGTTCATCGAGAAATTTCGTCAAGAATTCCCGCTGAGAAAGCTCGATGAGGAAACTTGCCAACAAAACAAAAAAAAAGGCCGACCGGAATGCACAACGGGAATGCTGGACGAGAAAGCTTGTCAAGAATGCTCGGCGAGAAAGCTCATCCAGAACGTTCGGCAAGAAAGAGGGTTCAGGAGGTTCAATAGAAATTTCCGACAGGAATACTCGTGGAGAAACCTCAAAAAAAGATCAGCGGGGACGCTCATCAAGAAAATTTGTGAATAATGCTCGACAAGAAAGCTCAGCTTGCAACAAAAAGAAGGGAATTGGCATTTTCTATGATACCACAAAATCCATTTGTTTATTTAACACATATAACTATACACTTATTTCCAATTTATTACAAAACAAAGTGGCCCAAATTCAGATGCTTGACGAATCACCAACTTCACTTTTCACCTAGCAAAAATAAAATAACGAATGGCAATCATTTCCTACTCACATCTGAATCCCCTGTGATGCTCCTGCTCCTGCGTCGTCGGCGTGGGCGATCCCCCTCCACTTCCTGCTTCCCCGTCCCCCTGCCTATATCCTCCCCCCTCTCCGCCATCCTCAGACAATTGAGCATCGAGGCTCTCTTCTTTCACCGCCGTCTGAGATTGCGGGGACAGCGACGCGCTCCCAGGCGAGCACGAATCCGTACGCGGGCTCGGGCCTAACAGACGGTCTTCGGCCGGCGAGAAGATGCTCCCTCCTGTGCCTCCGCCGCTGTGCTGCTGCATCTGGGAAAATATAGAACTCAGGTATAGTTTACGACAGACTTATAGTGTCTGTTTATACCTCTTCTCGGTTTCCTGGCTTTGAATAACAGTAAACAGGCACTATAAGTGTAATGTCACGAGCATGATATTTTGTGATGTCTAGTTTGTTGTACAACGTCTTTGGAACAGGGTCTTTCATAGTCTTCGTGATTTTAATCATGACTACTGACTACATCATTTTGGTTACAACAAATCGTATAGTTGCTCCATCCACCAAGTGCGAATTCATCGAAACCGCCTTATACCTAAAATTTACTTTTCAAAATGGCATGGTTCCAAAGACGCTACATATAAATCTAGACGGCAGCAACTCACCGAGTGCATAGAGTCGGCATTGGTCTCGATCTTGAGACACTTGGGGGGCGCAAACGCCGACGGCGGCGGCAGCTGTTTGAAGTCGGTAAGCGGCCTGAAGGCCCCCGCGCCCGAGCCCAAAGACAGGCACGGATGCAGGAATTGGGGCTGCAAATGGCTGAGGATGTGGCTCGGGAGCGCCCCATACGCGGCTTCCATGTGTCGGAGACTGAACGCGGCAGAGGCGGCGTTGAAACGTTGTTGTTGTTGCTGCTGCTGGTGGAGCTCCTTAGAGGCCTCCGATAGAGACATCTGGAAGAGAAATATACGGATCGGTGTATTTATTAAGAGTGTTGCTTGTTCTCCGAAAACATCAACTATGTCATCGGCAAACTTCATGTCGTAAACCACAAGTTTCAGATGTTACATTGAAAAAAATTACCTGATGGTTGAAAGGTCGCTGTATCCTGAGGACATCCTGCAACCCCGAAGCCGCCTGCGAAAACACGACCAGTGCCGGAGAGTTCAAATGGGCGGAGGTGGCGGCATACGCCGAATTCTCCATATCTGAAAAATATGGTAAAAATTAGTTTCACAAATGTTGCTTCCCATTACTTGCGCACCGGCGAGCAAGTATTGTTATCGAGAAAAATGTGATACTATGTTGACTTTATGCTATAACCTCGAAAACAAAACTGAGACAGAACCCAAAGCTCTTGATTCCGTCAAGCGGGCTACATTTCGTTCGGGGTTTGTTTTCGTTTTCGAACATTTTCCACAGTGTTTGTTCTATAACCATCAACGTGTTCAGAAGAGAAGCATTTTTTATTCTTAGTTAAGTATGGTTGATACTGAAGTCCTTGGAAAAAAGTGTATATACAGGGTGGCGCATCAAAAACGAAACAGACGTATTTACTGACAGCTCAGTTTTGTTTTTTTCTTTGAAAAACGCACAGACCCGTCGATTTTGTTTTCGAGGGGGACACAAGTTTGGCAAAAAATCGCGTTAACACGTGCAGCCCCCTGGGCGGGGGTGACACCAACCCTAAAATTTTAAGTGGAAAGGGGGTCGAGTGATACCCTATTTTAAAGGTCTTTCAATTCCCTTTATAATGATGTAAAATACATGAGCTTCAGTTCAGCAGTTTTGAAGATTTATTGATTTAAAGCTTAAAGTAGAGTTTAATAGGTACATCAGATTAGTTTGTACTACTTTCAGAAGAAATTGTTCAATATTTATCACAACTAGGTAGGTAACTTAGCAATTTGAAATGAAAGACAAAGTTTTTCAGCCAAAACAATACCTACCGCCGGCAACACGTCTGTCAATGAGCGGCAATTCCACCTGTCTGACAATTACGCGTGCTATTTTTCTTAACTTTGCAATGAAACACGACGTTGTGATTTCTCAGAAATATCTCACCAAAAGACACACCCAAATGGGATGTGACTCTGTACACAGTTGCATTTACAGAAAACTGAGAAATAGGATTATAGAATTACCAAATGACTATGTTAAGGCGTCAATAGAAGCTAGGAAAAAACCAGAGCCATACGAGGTGATCCAATTGAGTGACGACTTCTTCAAGAACTACTCTCGAACAGAGGTGCAGCGATACTCAACAATTAGACCAGGATGGGACAATGTAGTCACAGACATCAAAGTACTATGTTATAATCCCGATGGAAACATTGAAGTGAAACTAGACTTCAGGAGTTGCCTATGAGACCAAAACATCTACCCGTCATTTCAAATTATAAGAACTGTCACATGTTTTACGACAATTTGCCATATATGTCAAAAAAAGAAGCTGAACGTTCATTTAAGGTGTAACTGAGAATACATGCTATTATCTTTTTGATTTGTAAAAGCATTAAACTTTTATTGAGATATAATGAATAACAGTTTTTCTAACACGAATCTCACTAAATCCATCTATGCATCATAGTACAACATCTGCTTACCGCAAAGAAAGTTAGCAAAAATATCAGCAATCTGCAGTAATTTTATCAATTAGAGCTTAATTTAGACAAAAACACATTAAATATGTGTTAAACGTCATTTATTTTTTGTGACCAAAGTTGTAGAGTCTTAAGTCTTATTACGGTTTCTGTATATAGCGGGTATTGTCAGATGTCAGACGTAAGGCTAAATGTTCTTGCTGGTATCCATAATAATTATTATACCTACCTAGCTGATTTAGTCAAATTTTATTATTAAACTCAAATAGCTTCACAACGATTAAAGATAGGTATAAACTTCACAATACCAAAGCTACTAAAAACTTCATGGAAATTCAAAAAATTGGCGTTTCCATTTAAAAATCTAAAGTGTACCGCAATATTTTATTTTACAGCTACAAAGAAATCAAAATTGACATGTGCGAGCGTTTTTCCCAAAATATACCAGGAAAGCTGCAAATGGGCGTGCGAGCTTTTCGTTGGGTCACTCTGTATACTAGATGCCTATTAATTTTTTTTTATCCTGCAACTCACCAAAAGTCCTAGTCCCCGTCACTCCATCCTATCACACTTCACCACCAAAAACCAGAGTCCCGTCTTTTCTCGCTTACGTAACACGTCACCGACGCTCTCAAAAACACCGTAACAACTCGCGATACAACTCGTATCCCTTCGAGTCCCGATCCGAACTGGCTGAACAATCCCTGAAAACCTTCAACGCTCCCACTCCACGTCAAACCCGTCCCACTTTAGGCTAATCGCGCATCTCGATGCGCACCACGCGTTACGGGAACCGCCTACAGATACGCCTTTGCGGTCGATCTAGAGTGCTGGGTACGGTGGGCGGGACTTGAGCCGATTTAAACTTTGCGGTGTAATTAGGAATATGTTTATACTGGTTAGGGACACTCCTATATTAGGCATACGCCATCGAGTCATGGAGAGCCAGGAAATATTTCAAGTTGAAAAAGATGTAAGACAGACGTTACGCTGGTAAATAATAAGGCAAGCGGACCTTCAAATCAAAAAAAACTGGTGATAGAGGATGGCGAGAGAAAGATCAATTCTATGAGTAGCAAGTTTAAATCAGACATTTTGTTTAATGTTTAGGTTCTGAAACTTATCCTGTGCTTTTCATGTATCTACCTACATGCAAGGGCGGACTTAGGGGGGGGCATAGGAGAACATTACCCCCACCCACACTTTGGAATTATGTATGAAACAACACATCAGGTAAATGGCTGCCACGGCTCCGCTGGCACATGCGCACTCTTTTAGGAAATTTGTGGTAACATTTTCGAACACATATCGTGGTATCTCGTTGATACAGCGTCCGATTTCAGCTTTCAATGCTTCGGTGGTTTCTTGTGACTTCAGATCACCCCAAAGCCAGAAGTCCAAAGGTGTTAAATCGCAAGAGCGCGACCAGGAGCAAACTCGTGCAAAACTGCGAGCAGTATGGCATGTAGCACCATCCTGCTGAAACCATATGTCATTAAGAGCTATGGCTTCTAATTGTGGCACAAAAAACTGAGTAATCATTGCACGATAACGTTCGCCATTCACTGTTAGTGGATTAGCCAAAGAAAAACTGTCGAATACCGGACCATAGTGCACACCAAACAGTAACACGTTTTGGACAAAATCACCATTCACATCCTGTTGGCCAAGGCTCCAATTGCTGAACTCTCTTCGATGCGCATGGTCTGTTGGTATAAGCTGTCGAGTCAGTTGGACTTTGTAGGCGTGCAGGTGTAAATCTTCCGTTTGAATACGCTGGAGAGTGGCTGTTTTAATGTCCAATTCTTGAGCGCAGTGACGAATCGACGTCCCCGGACTCTCGGCTACATTCTCGCGAATTGCCACGACATTTTTTTTGAACGACCGCTGGGAGCTCGTCTTGTATGTTTCAGATCATTAACATAACCAGTACTTTCAAATTATCTTATTATTCTGTTCATAGTGGATGAGGTAGGAACATTATTCCGACCACTTTGGTAATAAATTTTAACAATTAGGATACACTGTTCTATTGTGTAATGATTCATTTATAATAAATAAAAATAAATAAAATAACAAAGAACATGAACAGTTCTGGCTGGAATAGCGAATTTTGTTCGTTCCAGACTTTGCACGCACTTGCAAATGAAATAGTTTCGGATTCAGTTCCAACGACCCAGGAAACGTATTGTGACGAATAGCGCCACCTGTTGGGCGAGTCTCCTACTCGTCAGAGCCTAAATGCCGATCTCTGGCGGCGTCCGTGAGAAACGTGACGGTGGATCGCCTTCTAGATCGACGCGAAGTGATCTTCAACATTCTAGATGTCGCTTTGTGCTACACCTGTTTTTTTCTCGAAGCTGTAATGGGGACTATAGGTATATAACTCGGCCGGAGGCAGAGTACGGAATACGGTGGAGTAGCAGAGCGAAGAGAAGCGCAGTGCGAAAAGTTTCATAACTTCAAAATTAGTGGCAGCATTAGATAGTCAGTTAATGAGAAATACTGCTTTTATTATCGAAGCTACCATTGAGGCACTTGTACAACGAGTTTCCTATAAGCAAGCAAAATTCGTACCGAAAAGCGAAACGAGCGCGTAGGAGATATAAAGCCTTATTTCCAAAGCGAGGTACTGTACTGTCCAGTGGGATAATAAATTGTTGCCACCTTTAAATGCACGCAAGTCTGATATTTTAAACGAAATTAATGCTTCAAGCAAAATGATGCAAAGCCCCACAATGTACATACAAATCTGTGTAAATTTGTTGGAAAATTGATTATTAACGTGAAAGAAAATTTCACGCCAATAAACACACGATTCGTCTTAGAAGAATATCAACCCAATTCCAATATGAGCACAGTGACGAAGTGTTACTAGACCCCAAGATTAAATACAAAGTAGAATTTTTGATCAGACGCTAACCTCTCTAAAGGACAGATTCGAGGAGTTAAAAACTTTTCCTGACGTATTTGGATTTTTAAACGATAACTTATTTAATTAGGTACTGCATCGATGACTTAATGATACATTGTAAAAATTGAAATCTAAAAGATCATTTAATGGAATGAGAGCTTTGAAATTGCACTTTCCAGAAAATCAGTCTAATGATTCTCATACTTTGTTACAATACCATCTTACTAATGATTTAATTTCGACATTTCCAAACACAGCAATAGCGCTACGAATATTACATTGCATCCGGTGAAAATTCTTTTTCAAAGTTAAAGATTAAAAAAAAACTTTTTGAGGTCAAAAATGCACCAGCAAAGACTAAGAAATTTAGCTATAGTTTCTAAAGTTTTAAACAGCTTGGATACGAAAAAGTTGATAGCAGATTTTTCAAACATAAAGGCAAGAAGAGTTCAATTTCTGTAGAAATAAATATGTACTTATGGTTAAAGATCGAATTTTTTTATTTTTTTTTATTTTCTCATGCCCTTATATAGTTCAATGGCATTGGATTCGATTTCATAATCGGAATCGCAAAAGTAGCTCAACGGATTGGACGTTATCGAACCCGTACCAGATATTCACCGACACAGAAAGAACTCCAGGATCGACCAAGTAACTACAAGCCCTGACATTCCAATGTTTAAACAGTATCGCAAGAGCTGAAAAAGTGTGGATCCCGATGAAATTCAGATATTTATAGTGAAAATCTATCATGCCTGAATATTTCTCAGAGACTGGCAAGCTGCTAGAATTTTATCGGCATGGATTGACCAAAGAAGTTTCATTTACTATGTAATAATCTGAGCAACCCGGTAAAGCCTCTCCTTGGGCCCCTCCCGCTATATTCATGGCACTTCAAGGGTGCACCAAAATGTTTTTGTTTTGGTTTCCTGAATTCAGATTTCTCACTGGGTCGTAGACTCAAAATAAAACAACTAATTATATTTTTTTAAATTCAATTAATAATAAAACTGATCAGTCTAGCGACATCTATTAGACCATTTTTGAACAAAGCGACTAGATAGAAACCGACTAAAGGAAACTGTAATAATAACAGTAAATGCCTTTTCAGCAGGGCCCTCAAGTGTTTTTGGAGTCTGAAGACGAAGGAATGCACCACAAATATTGAACACCATTAAATTTCAATCGAGCAAACAATAAAACAAAGTAATAAAATATTACATATGCTGTCATCTCTTAGTCAGAAATAGAAGTGAAGGTACTGATGGCGCTACCTATCGAGATATTTTAAAAGTAGTCGCCTTCGTGATGGGACAATAAAAAATAGTGAGTTGGTTTCTCAGAATCAAATCCAAATTTAGGTTTTGTTAATTTTTGAAATGTTGAAAAGGTTAAAGCACGAAAATAATATGTATGGTATGGCATGCACCATTCATGCAAGGATGATCATGGTCATTTGCCTAAATCAAGAAAGTCTAGACAAAAATAAAAAGAAACTATACGTCCGCCATCTCTTGCAAAATATTATACATCATTAAACACTCTTCAAACTGCGAATAAAGGAACCGGTCAGCTGCGTTCCTTACTTGGATGTCGCTGTGATAGATGGCGCAACAAACTTGTCAGCTGTACAGTCAGCTGCATGCCTCATTTTAATGTGGCTATGATAGATGGCGCCTCCTCAATATTACTGCTATGTGAAAATAATAATAGGGGTGTCGATAAAATAAATCAAGATAAAAGCTGTTGTGCATCTACCCTACTTAGCAGTGCTTGCAATAGGTGGCGATAGCTAGTGATATTGCTAGCGTCATCTATAAGGCACTAACTGAACTACATTCATACTTTACTGAATAAGCTGTCAGAAAGAAAACAGTAATTGTAAATAAAATAAAATTTCACATTTCCACTTCATTCGGGAATGGATACTAAGAAAAAAATAAATTCCGTATATTTAATGGAGGCAGGTAAAGATTAAAGAAGACAGTCGATGATTTCCAAGCCACTCCACACTATGGCACATTTTTGGCGGTAAAGGAAAAATTTTTGTCCACCCGTTGTACACGGGCTGTTCTTTCCCCTCCTGGGTGTACAACTATTGTCGGTCTTCTCCCCTTTTCTTTGGCCTCATCAGCTGCTAGGGCCAAATATCTTCTTGTTATTTAAAAAAAGAACCTATGTATGTCTTGATATACTGGGAGAATCAGGAAAGTGTAGACAAAAATAAAAAGGAAACTATATACTCGCCATCTGGGATAATCAAAAACTACATTCATGATGATGCTATGATAGATGGTGCCGCCTTCATATCCCTAGCGACATCTATTAGGTTAAAGTAATAATTCGCGGTATCGATAAAATAAACCGAGAAGAAAACTGTTGAGCATCTACCCACCTTAACAATATCTACAATAGAGAGCGATAGCTAGTGATATTGCTAGCGTCATCTATAAGGTTATTAATTGAACTGCACACATTGGAATAAGCTGAGTGAGAAAGAAAACGAATTGTAATTTGTTTATTTTGTTTTTCAGACTGAGACAATCCAACTATTACAGAAATTAGATTTATAATAGGTACTTTTATGAAACGTCATTTGCTATAATGTTGATAATCGTCATATATTCTAATTTTATGATTCTGTTACCCAACCAAGTCTAAGACCAGAGTCGATTATTCCTCAAGCATAATCTAACTTTCGATTCAGTTGCAAGAGAACAACTTGCTATTTTTTCTTAGTTCTATCGCTACCACTCTTAGTTAAAAAATATATTAATAGATAGCGCCACAAGTATTTTCTGTTCTGTTTGTTCTGAGGTGACAGCTTAAGCAGCGCCACCCTCAACTAAGTTAGTTGAAGGTGGCGCTGGCTTAAGATAGTAAGTTGGCGGGAATAAATTTGTATAAATACACAAAACAGGTAAACAGTAGAGTAGAAATGTTAAGATAGGGACTGCGTCCAGTTCGGAAAAGGCCACGTTTCCAGACCCCGGAGGCACCTGGGATGTCT